GACCAACACTCAAAGGCAAGAGTCACACCCTACCACAATCCCTATATATAATAGGACCTCTTTGTTCAATGTATTAAGAATGCTTGTAGACATGATGGGTGTCCCAGGAAGAGGGACCTTAGCCACAACTCTGCATGAGTTCACAGTTCAAGGGAGACAGGCAGGGATTTTACCATGTCTACCATCAGAACCCTGGACTCAGCCTCTCTGAGCATCAATTTCCTCATTTGTAGGGTAGGGTCAATGATGTCAAACTTGCCAGGTATGGTGCCACCACCTGTAATTCCAGCTAGGGAGGATAAGGCAGAGGATCACAAGTTTGAGGCCAGCTTGGGCAACTTATCATGACCCTGTCTCAAAATGAAATTTTAAAGACTGGGGGTGTAGATCAGTGCTCCCTGGGTTTGACTCTGAAGGGGAAATGTCAGACTTGCAGGGTTGCAATGATGAGTGAATGAAAATGATACATGTTGGGCCAGGGATTTAGCTCAGTGGTTCTGCCACCTGCCTTTGCGAGCACAAGGTCCCTAGTTTGACCCCCGGTATAAAAAAACAAAAACAAAAACACCAATATATATCAATACATAGCCAATTTTGTTATCTGTAATGGGTTAGAGTCTTGTCACTGCCATATTTACCTTATTTACTTCTTCACAGTTTGTTTCTTCATCTGTTTGATGGGGACAGGAAGACCTAACTCAGGAGGTGGTGTGTGCTGTATTTGAGATAAGGGGCAGAAAAGCATCTACCTCAGAGCATCATAGTTGGGCTACAAAGTTGTGAACAAGGCACACCCTGCTCAGCAGTACTGTGCATTCTCTCCCCACCAATTTAAGATCAGCTTGGGTGTTCTGCAAGAGCGGCCATTCACTCAGAAGAGATAAGATTAAAGGGGCTCCAATGCTGGCTGTATGCTTAAGAAAGAAAGATTCCAGGTAGCAAACCTTCAGAGGATTCAATCTGGTTTTGGGCAGCTGGGGAGATACCCCAAGTTTCCATCTGTGGGCATTCACAGAGCTGGATCTTGGTGAGCTCCTCCACAGGGTCCTATCTGGATCAATCCATAACCACGCAGAGAGTTGCCGACCTAATTTTCGGCACACAGACCTAAATACCTGACATGGGTGAAAATTTCCTTTATAAAATTTTTTAATCCTATTTTTAAAATAAGTAAAAAATTTAGAACAACCACCCAAAACTCCATATATAGAGGTCAACTAAGGAGAGCTCTTTCAGCCTGTGGCTTGTTTCCCGGTAGTCCCTGCCAGACATCACTGACTGTGGGCTGCCCTGTGGCCTGTGTTTGCCAAAGGCTGCTGCTGTTCTCAGTCTTTTGGCAGGCTTTGCTATCCCTCTCCCTTAAGGTGTCATTCTCCAAGCCCATTCAGTTGACCCTTCGAGCACCCTGACCTATGGGACACTCCCACCCAACCAGGTCCAGCTCCCTTGACCTAGATCTTTCCCTTGCCAAAGCTCAGGATATCTATTTGGTCATATAGGCCATGCCAGCATCTTCCAAGTTTTATTTATCCCACATGTCCCATGGCAGAAGCAATTATCACTAGAGACTAAAGGCCACAATCAACTGCAAGTCTGTGAGCCCTTCCTGGACCCACTGTGAAGTAGCAGTGCTTTCTCATTTTTTTCCCTTTTATTGAGTTTATTGGTACAATCTAGGTCTACAATACAGTTACATTCACTACCGAGATCCTGTACCTTCACATGACAGGTCTTGGTTCTCATTTTTTCCCCTTGTCCCTGCCCTCCCTTTACCCCCTCCTCCCCTCCCCATTTACAAACTCTTTATTTCCATTTTTCCATTTTCTCATATTTTTTTCTTTTTCTTGTGGATCATTTTTAGAGATAGGATAGGAATGGAAAGTTTCATAGAAATGTTTACCAACATAGAATGTAATGGTGCTAAATGGTATCCTATGGGTTATCCTTAGGATATATTTTTTTCCTACTGTGAAAGCCAGCAACAAAAACTCCAGCAGTGAGCTCTTTTAGTTTCCACAGTCCTTGTTGACTCCAAGGAAAATCACTGTCCTCTCATTTAAACAATGCTAGTGCAGTCCTAATGCCTAAAGGTCATTTTACCTGGACTGAAAGATTTGAGCAGAGGCAGCAGACATATAAAGGCATCTACTTTGCGAGTGATGAGTGACTTAGCTCTGCCTTGGCATCTTTTTTTTTTTTTTTTTTTTTTTATATAATTTTTGGGGACCAAACCCAGTTTAGCACTCTACCACAGAGCTAAATACCCCTGCCTCGGTATCTTGAGGTAGAGGCTGCCTCACTTACCACCCAACATAAGTTGCAAAATTTTAAAGCTGATACAAATTTCAGTGGGTCCATAATGCACTCCTACCCACTCCTTCTGGGGAAACTGTTATTCTCCCTTTCCATCTTTCAACCATCAGTTTCTCTCTGAGGCTGCCAACCACAGGTCCCGAACTCCTGATAGGGCATATAATGTAAACTGACCAATCATATCACTACATTATATCCACATCATGGTGGACATAAAGAATTTGCAGTGAGAGAATATGTGACCAAGGATGAATAATCAAAGTCCTCTGCAGTAATTTTATGAGAAAATGGAGAAGTGGGTGGTTCCATCTTTTACCAAGAAATGAATGTCATCCAAGATAGACTGAGAGAATTAAGCCATGAGGAAAAATGGAAAAGAAAAAAGTTGTGTCCAGATAATGTTCATCTGTCCTTTTCTCTGATATACTGGAATAAAACAGATCCTTTTAGGGATAAGTTTGTTGGAAATGGGCTTCTGTCACTTCCAGTTGAAAGAGGCCTGAGGGAAAGATTCTGAGAGAGCTGAGGATCTACCAATAGTAGTCATTAACATCCACGTCTATATCCTATTTGTATAGACACATCTGTACAGACAGTCTTGGTGTGGGTTAGGCAAACATACCCTAAGAAGCTGATGCTATGTTTGTTACTCTGAGTATGTCCATCAAAACCACTAGCCTTCAGGGCTGGGGATTTAACTCAGTGGTTCCAGTGCCTGCCTCACAAACACAACGTCCCAAGTTTGATCCCCGGTACACCAAAACAAAAACAAAAAAACCACTGGCCTTCAGGTATACCTTCCTTTCTTTTCTTGCTTGCTTGCTTGCTTTCAACAGAATCTGGCAACGCTGTCCATGCTGGTCTCCAATCCCTGGGTTCAAACGATGCTCCTGCATCACCCTCCCCAGAATCTGGGACCACATATCCATGCCATCATGGCCAGCTGGTCTACAGGTTTCACTCCAGGCCTTTGAGGCTGACCAATCATCCCAGTTTGCTGAGAGAGTGAATGGTTTCCTGGGAGACATGAGACTTTCATCATGAAAACCAGAACAGTCTCTGGCAAACAAGACAATTAGTTATCCTAGCTCAGTTCCACATCTGTACAACAGGTTGATTTGGTTTATTTATTTTTTATATCTGGGATTGAACTCAGGACCTTTCATTTGCAAGGCAGGTGGTAGAACAACTGAGCTAAATCCCCTGGACTGAGTTTTTGATAAACTGGAACATTAGGATTTACTTTGGACCAACTTTGAACCTACTATCATAAACCTGGTGTCAGTTTTTCTCCAGCTTGGACTTCCTTAGAACTTGTAGATGTTGTTTTGTGTATTTAATTGAACATTTAGATAAAAATATGGACTGGCAAGACATAGATATATATAGCTTTGGGTTGCTTTTTTGTTTTTCCCACCAGAGATCAAACTCAGGACCTTGTGCTTGCAAGACAGGAGCAGTGCTACTGAGCTAAACCCCTGACCCATGTAGATATAATTTTACCCCCCACCACCACCCTTTCTTTTTGCAGTGGAGACTGAACCCAGGGCCTTTGCATTGAGCCAAATCCAGTCCTTTTACTTTGAGACAGGGTCTCGCTAAATTGCTAAATTGTCCTAGCTGGAGTTGAAATTGCGATCCTCCTTCCTTAGCCTCCCAAGTGCTGGACTGACAAAAAACCATGCCCAGTTTAGCTGGTTCTTTGTTGTTGTTGTTGTTTGGTTTTTTGAGACAGGGTCTCACTATGTAGTTGAGTCTGACCTGGAACTCACTATATAGCCCAGGTTGGTCTCGAACTCCCAGCGATCCTCCTGCCTCAGCCTCCCAAGTGCTGGGATTACAGATGTGCACCACCACACCCAGCTCTTAGCTGGTTCTTTAGAAATTTAAAATTTAGCTGGCTTTAGTGGCGCACGCCTGTAATCTCAGCATTCAGGAAGCTGAGGCAGGAGGACTGCTGTAAATTTGAGGCTAACCAGAGCTACATAGTGAGTCCAGGGACAGCCTGGACTACATAACAAGAGTCTCAAAAAAAACCAAACAAGGGCCAGGGATTGGCTCAGTGGTTTTGTCGCCTGCCTCGTCAATACGGGCATGAGTTCAATACGGGGTACAAAAAAAACTTTTTTTAAAATTTAGAACCCATCATGTGCTAGACTTACATAAAGACTCTAATGCTAGCACTCTGAGCTTACAAGTGTGTCTACATTTTAGAAATTAGGAATCTGGGACTTAGCAGCTCAGTACATGCCTAAGGTCCTACTCAGCAGGCAATGAAACTACGTGGGATCCCATCTAAGGCCAGTCCGAGTCCATTAGCTACCTTTCTACCATGATGCAGTTGGCACTGGCCTGCTTTCACTTTTGCTCTTCAATGTGCACAGTCTACACTCCTCCCCTGGGTTTGGGGCTACAAGGTAGTCAGGGATTTAGGTTTCCCTGCCTTGAAAAAGCAATATGGGGTCCCTCCGCGTGGCTAGGAAATCCAGAAGTTCCAGATAGCTAAGTAAGGGCGGAAAAAGAGACACGCGGGGCAACTCTCAGTTGCCAAAGGGCAGGAGACTCCCCACAAGGATAACTGCACACTGTGTGAGTGGCCTGCGGACAGGTAAGAGGAAGGGAGTTACGCTGCGGAAGCAGTCCTGGTTTCTTGCAGCCCAGCCGCCCCGCAAGACGGCGGGTAGCGCATGCGCGGCGCGGGCCACAGAGTTGTGAATGGTACGTCTTGTTTGCAGGAGTTTGAGGCGGGCGGGCGCGCGAGGAGGGGGTGGGGCCAGC